GTGTATATCTGAAATAGACCCGACCGACGCACAAAATAGTGCAATATGGCGGCCTCTATGAACAACCCTCGCAGACGCTGTCATTGAAGACAACGTCAATTCTATGAGTTGTAGATGTTATTTTTGTGAAAAATCATTGGAAGAAGAGAGAACATGTTGGGACTGTACGAATTATATAGTCTTTATGGGTGCAACGGACACAATGCTGAAGATAAACCTATTCTTTACAATGTTGACCTCATGACCCATTGATGTCAATCTTCATCCTTAAATCTTCAAACTATTTATCAAAGACTTTTAATTAACAAATATATTTTTGTTTATAAAATTATCCATAAACTTTGTCCATCATATTTATATAATATTTTTCATTATAACACCACTCCATATTCATCTCTCAATAATAGACTTTCTATCTGTAGACCTAATAATGAAATATTTAAATGTAGTTTACAATATAGAGGCACAGTGCTTTGGAATTCTCTCCCATATTCACTTAAAAATATTAAAAATCTTCCTTTATTTCAGAAAAATATCACTAGGCAAGTTATTTCTTCTTCTTAACCTGTAGCCTATATTTAATATATCAACTACTTACTACATATTATCTATCATATTACTTTTAGTTTTAAAGTTAAACTATTTAGCTTATCAATATATATTTGAATGTTTTGTGTGTGAGTATTTGTCAAGTATCTTGTTCTGTTACTGTCTTTTTCATTTCTTTGTTATAAAGGGCAAAATTGTAAACAGGCTCTAAGCCTAATTAGTATTATTATTATTATTATTATGACCTGTGATGTGTAGATCACGTGATATGGATATCATGGCTATTGACTGTGTCTGAGATACTTCTCCGCAGGTAGCGTGTCTCAGATGTTCAGAATGGTCAACACCAGTTGTTTTAGGGGTGTGCAGAGATTGATGAGGGGGGGGGGCATAGAGTCGATCTTCAGTGGCGTGTAGGGGCGTGGTGGCGTGGGGCAGCAACGGCCCCGGGTATCTATCTCAGAGGGACTTTCATTTTCATCTTTGAAATTTTCCTTGTTAGCTTTGATGCACCGATTGCTCTGCTTAAACATACATTATGACGTCACATTAATAATGACGTCATTGTATTAATCATATTAAACATACATTATGCAAGAGCTAAATCTGCCTATTGCTGGTCTTTTATTAGGTCTAAAATATTATCTAAATAATCAACTCTCGATGGCATCACCAGCCTGTGATGTTTATTGGATTAGGTTCCGATTTGCTGTTTGATTTCCATTCATAATTTAATTATGAAATGGATAATCGAGACTATGTTTTTTATCGTACAGACTTTAGTATTGATGATCGAGGCTAGGCCGAAAATTCAAGCGCCAAAATCTCAGTTCATAGTGGATCAATTTGAAATTTTCAGCAAATTGCCTTTACAGTATCTAACTTTAAACTATTATAGTGAGAACTGTCAGCTCTTTATCTAATCTCCCATAATGTATATTTAATGTATTTATTTTATCTGTTTTGAGATATTTAAAATGTCTTCATTTCTCACATTTCTACGTACTAGGTCCTATACTTGGGTTTTGGGGCGTACAGCTGTGCTTTGCACTTTTAATTTGAAATTCTTAAACCTCTAGTAAACACATTAGTGTAGCGCGTTATATGAGGGTTTCATCAGAGCGACTAGAAACTGTCCCTTGCACCACAGACAAAGCGTAAAGCAGTGTAGCGCGTTATATGAGGGTTTCATCTAAACTACTAGAAACTGTTCCTTGCACCACAGACAAAGCGTAAAGCAGTGTAGCGCGTTATATGAGGGTTTCATCTAAACGACTAGAAACTGTTCCTTGCACCACAGACAAGGGTAAAGCAATGTAGCGCGTTATATGGGTTTCGTCAAAAGACGAGAAACTGTTCCTTGTACCAGAGACAAGGGTAAAGCAATGTAGCGCGTTATATGGGTTTCGTCAAAAGACTTGACACTGTCCCTTGCACCACAGGCAAGGGAAAATTAATGTAGCGCGTTACAACACTGACAAGGGTAAAGCGATGAGGAGTCATACGACCACACACTGACAAGAGTAAAGCAATGCAGCGCCTTTTTTTCTCCATAAACTCGCTCTAATGTTATAGAGTCCATTGTCTTGAACAAATCATCTGGGAAATCAAATTAGAGAGAGAGAGAGAAATGGGGTTTAACGTCCACTCGACACAAACTAGGTCATTTCGGGACTAACATATGGTTTAATTTCATTTACATAATTCGCTTGCGCGTAGGGGTCTTTAGCAGTGGGAGGAAACCGGAGGACCCGGAGAAAACCCACGAGGTTAGACAGGCGACCCTACTCCTTGCCACGTACAACCGGGGATTCGAAACCACGCCAGTCGACTCAATGACAGACTTTATGATACAGCGCGCGCACGCTAACCATTCAGCCATCCAACCCCCCGAAATCAAATTAATGTGGCGAAGAGAACTTTAATTAAAATAATGCAACTCAATATCTGGTCATTGAAAGCATTATGGCCGGATTCCTGGGTAATAGCGACAAATAAATGTGAAACCGAAAGTAATTGAACGAAATCATATACTAAATATCTGTCACGTAGACCGGCAGATGGTCGGTGTTTTCCAGGTGCTTTTTTGAAGGGTGGGCGTCATTTCGGGACTAACATATGGATTAATTTTATTTCAATAATTCGCCTGCGCGTGGGGGTCATTAGCAGTGGGAGGAAAGGAACGGGAGAAAACCCACGAGGTTAGTCATACGGCCCGAACGAACAAGCTGGAAATCGAAACCGATCCACTTGCCTAGACAACATTTTCTTCATAGCAAACTGCATGGCATATGCCAGTCTACACTAGTTAGATTTGTGAGGAAAAGCCGGCCCCGAGTTCACAAAGCATTCACAGACTTAAGCTAAGAATTTAATCAAAAAAGTTCGTCTTATTGTAACTAAAGTTTTGTGTTTCTGAATCAAAGATATTTCTCATAAACAGTGATTGAAAGTTGAGTAAATTATTAACTTAAGTCTGGGAATGCTTTGTGATCCTGGGACCAGGGCCCTGTTTCACGAAATTTTAACTAAAGATAAAATCCAAATTTTAGTAGATATTTCAATTTTGATTGGCTTAGCACTACAATCAATATAATATTATCCAATCAAATTACTAAAATTTGGATTTTATCTTAGTTAAAATTTCGTGAAACAGGCCCCAGGTCGTTAAACCTCATGTTTTCATGGTACCTCTGTAGAAGCATGTATATACAAATGCCCAGCTTCAGCGAAATACAATCCCAATAACATTGTAATGGGGATGCATGATTTTGAGTTAGGACAGTTCCGGATTGACTTGTAATTTAGTTCTGTCAGTTACAACGAATATGTTTCCGATGTCGGCGCATGTGTTGTAACCCAAAATCCTCTTTTCAATCGATTGTCAATTCCGGAACGTTCACTCGAGTATCTCCAATGATGGCACTCAGTTAGATTCATGATTTCTAGTCACAGCGAAACACTACTTAATTGTAACATGCTTAAGGATGAATCTTGCGTTTTGATTGGTCAATTTGACACTGTCGATTGGACAATAACACCCCCTCTGGTGTTATTGTCCAATAGACATGTCCTGGGATTTTACATTAGAACCTGAGGACATGTCTATTGGACAATAACACCCCTCTAAATGCGAAACAGGAAGTGTTTATCTCCTAATGAGTAGAAATGAAATGAAACCGCCACAGTGTGCTACGAGAGAAAGTTTGCCCGGGCAGCAGCCTACACGGGGCCTTGGGTTTTCGTCCAATCCGAATGACTATACGTTGTCCTTTGCCAGGCCCTTCAGCCTGCACCACTGACAAGGGGGATCCACGCCGGCAAAATACTGGTGTACTTTCTCGGGCAACGCAGGGAGCGAATACGGAACCTCCAGGCTGGCGAGCTAACGTTTTACTCACTGGGCCACTTAATTAGTAAAAATAGGGAGGCCACACATTTTGATATGCAACCCCCCAAACCCAAAACGCCTGGAAAAACGTATCTTAAATTTCGATAAAGGCCCACATACACAGAATTACAGTAGAGGTGTTTAGGACCTTCCTTGTGGGGACGGAAGAAAATGGCGGGTAAATGTGACGTTAACCTAACTCCATATAATGATTGAATGATTGGCTGCAGACCGGAAGTAATACTTGTGATTGTCAGCAAATTGTTGATATCCTGTTTAGTCCCGAACATTTGGCAATGCTAGAATTAAAGTCAACCCTTACTAAAATTATGGGCCTAGATGCGAATCGACTTGGGCGTTGAATTATAAGAACTGGTACCTTATTCATGAAAACTTAAAAACTGAAATATCTTAAGAATGCATGCTTTTCATAGGCTAATAGTTATAACCTGTAATAGCATTTTAACTTTCAACCGATGAAACGGTTGTATCCTTAAAATAGTTTAGTTTAACGTTTCGTGAATAAGGCCCCTGGAGTTTAGTTGCGGGTGTGGTGTGAGGGGGCGGGGTACAGTACCGGTATACACGGGCTTTTCATTGGCTAAGAGCGATAACGTGTACTCACTCGACAAACCTCGGCAGACTCCGGTACCTTACAGCTAACCTCGGCTGTATAACGAATTCCGTCATTGGAACTACTTTCAAGTTCCCGGATTAAAATTGGCCGCGCCCATAAAGATGCCTGTGAAGAGTGTTTTGTCTCAATAAACTGCCTATTGTTTGTAATGTACTTTCAAGTTAATCCGATTTTCTTTAAACAAAGGACAACTTTGCAATGAAAAATCTACACACTCTTCGAACGACGCCATTTTGAGTACTTCTTTCTGAAAGCGGCATGCTTTCCTAATAAGTAAACCAGTAGCTGCATCACAATTGTATCGGTGTAGGTACATATCACTTAGCGGAGCCTGTCCTGGTTTGTCGAGTGAACGTGTACTAACATTTTAACTTTTAACCAATCAAGCGACCGTATCCTTAAAATTATTCGGTTTTTGGTCGGGCTTTTTTTTACAGTACCGGTACACAAAGAAATATTTTCAGAATATTGAATCTCCAGAAAGCCTATCCTTTTCAAACAATTTATTTTAAACAATATACAATATCCACATAAATACAATGAAAACAGCTAATATACTTTTATATATCGTACAATAGATATTAATAATAATAATAATAATAGTTATAATAGCAATAATATTAATAATTTATAAAAGGAAACACGATCTAATACAAGTACCGCCATACTATGGACAAGGAACTGACTATGACGTCATCGCAGTCATTTTGAAATTGTAACGTCATAACACAAATCCACGCGCATTTATCGCCAGAACAAGCATGCAGAGTTTCTTTTTCGAAAAGTGTCGCTCCAAAGAACAACTGTCACAAGAACAGACCCCGGGTTCACAAAGCATTCTCAGACTTAAGTTAAGAATTTACTCAACTTTCAATCACTCTTTATGAGAAATTTCTTTGATCCAGAAACACAAAACTTTGTACACAGTTTCTTATTAGGGTATTTGATACATTAAAACAACAACAGTTTTATAAAGGGCTATATTTTAGTTAAAATAAAGCAAACAATTTTGAGTAAATTCTGAACTAAAGTCTGAGAATGCTTTGTGAACTTGGGGCCAGGATGATTAGCTGTTCGGGGCCAGTTCTTGTTCCAATAAAGTAGTCAATGTATAATGTCTCCTTTATCTATTTATAGTACGTATTTACAATATTTACATTTTCTCATGTTTTTATTGGATCCGAAACTTATTTCCAGGAAGCATATAAATCTAATTGACAATTAATTATCCCTTTGTTTTTTGCGGATTTTTTTTTTTCGTTTTTGGGTTTTTTTTTGTTTTTGTTTTTTTTTTTTGTTCTGTTTCACTTTTGATGTTAAATAAGGAACGGAAGGATGTTTGCTTGTACATTATACCGTTGGCGGTTAATCACTAAGGTATTTGACTCATTAACCAGTCGAATATGGTAGAAACTATTAGACTTTAGTTGGGGTCTTTAACCAGTAAAATATGGTAGAAACAGACAACTATTGGACTTTAGTTGAGGTCTTTAACCAGTAAAGTGTTGGAAACGGCCAACTATTAGACTTTAGTTCAGGTCTTTAACCAGTAAAATATGGTAGAGACAGCCAACTATTAGACTTTAGTTCAGGTCTTTAACCAGTAAAATGTTAGAAACAGCCAACTATTAGACTTTAGTTGAGGTCTTTAACCAGTAAAATGTTCGAAACAGCCAACTGTTAGACTTTAGTTAAGGTCTTTAACCAGTAAAATATGGTAGAAACAGCCAACTAGTATACTTTTAACCAGTTAAATGTTAGAAACAGCCAACTATTAGACTTTAGTTGAGGTCTTTAACCAGAAAAATATGTCAGAAACAGTCAACTGTTAGACTTTAGTTGAGGTCTTTAACCAGTAAAATATGGTAGAAACAGACAACTATTGGACTTTAGTTGAGGTCTTTAACCAGTAAAATGTTGGAAACAGTCAACTATTAGACTTTAGTTGAGGTCTTTAACCAGTAAAATGTTAGAAACAGCCAGCTGTTAGACTTTAGTTAAGGTCTTTAATCAGTAAAATATGGTAGAAACAGCCAACTAGTATACTTTTAACCAGTTAAATGTTAGAAACAGCCAACTATTAGACTTTAGTTGAGGTCTTTAACCAGTAAAATGTTAGAAACAGCCAACTATTAGACTTTAGTTGAGGCCTTTAACCAGTAAAATATGGTAGAAACAGCCAACTATTGGACTTTAGTTGGGGTCTTTAACTGGTAAAATGTTAGAAACAGCCAACTATTAGACTTCAGTTGAGGTCTTTAACCAGTAAAATATGGTAGAAACAGCCAACTGTTAGACTTTAGTTGAGGTCTTTAACCAGTAAAATGTTAGAAACAGCCAACTATTAGACTTTAGTTGAGGTTTTTAACCAGTAAAATATGGTAGAAACAGCCAACTGTTAGACTTTAGTTGAGGTCTTTAACCAGTAAAATATGGTAGTAACAGCCTGGACGAAATTAAAAGTCAATTCTTCTCTCGACAACGAATATTGCAATAACTAGAATTTATGAAAACCAAGCGGAACTGCTATTATTTCTTTTTTTTTTTTGTTAGCAAATCCTGTTGAAAAACACTCGTTGTTGTCTATTCATAGATTTCCACCTGTTTTATGATGGAGAAACGTCTTACCGGATCATAAATCACGTGTTAGGTTGGGATTTTTTATTTTTTATTTATATTATTTTTTTGAACGAGCTGGTAACAACAAACCTATTATATTACCAACAACTTATTTCTAAAATTCCTTTGACTAATTTTAGACAATCTTGTTGTTCCTGCGTTCATGCCATTATTAGTTTCCATGGTAATAGATCTTGGAAATAAAATATTGCCTGAAGGTATTAAACAGGGGGCTTAGCTAGCACTAACATCACTACTTAAGGCCTGCTTACACAATTTGGGATGGAATTTCTATCGATTTAGTTGTACAAGTGCTTAATTCGCATACTTTTTTAGTCTGTAATTAAAACTTCTCTTCCTTTACATGATTGCCCAATGGCATTAAATCAGCTCGGTTGAACAGGCATTACGTAGAACTATTTACATCAATGTACAATTTTACATATTCATAAGTTTATCCGGTAGTTATTGGTATCGCAATTGCTGTGTGGGTTGTAAACAATAAATGGGTCTAACTTTTGGGGATTATTCAAGCCATGTTCTCCTTCAATAGAGATAGGGTTTTGGGGACTACTAGGTTCTTGTCGTTAAACTATGTTTGGGATTATTCAAGCCCTGTTCTCCTTCAATAGAGATAGAGTTTTTGGGACTACCAGCTTCTTGTCGTTAAACTATTTTCTAAAGGTTCTGGACATTGTGGTTTAAAACAATGAAGGGTTCCTAATCTTTAGATTGTTCAAGCCCAGGTCACACGTCTAAGTGATAGCGTTTGTCGCGACTGACAGTTCCTTATCCGATGGTTCTTGAAGTCGCGCTTACTGCGTGGTTATAAAACGGTGAATTAGGGGTTCAGGGATTCGAATCCCTTCGTGAGTGTAGAAAATTTTTTTGGATTTTTCAAGCCCCGTTTTCACTTCTTCGGGATAACGTTTACCGGTACAAACAAAAATGAAAGATTCATTTCTTCTTGTTCCGATAGCACAAATATACTGAGTACCACTCACTCTTCCATGTCAGTGATCTCTTGGCATCTGTCCACACCAAATCCCTGCCTCGCACTGCACATGTAGCCACATAAATAAAAATAGCAACATGTTAGTGTCAGTATTTTCTGAACTTTTAAATCCCATTGTTTTGCTTTCTTCAGTGGTTCCTTCTCTTAATGTTTTCGTTCTTTAAATCACGGTTCCATGACAACACATCCAAATCTAGAACAGTATTTGATTAAATTAAGCGACACTACGTCAAACCATCATTGTCTCGTCATTGGAGATCTGCACTTTTCTAATTTTCAGCGGAATATCCCCAAACATAGTCTTGTTACCAAACACAGGCGTTTAATGTGCTATCGCGGAGATACCAACGACGTCCGTAATTTCATTACATAATCAGACCAAGGCGTTGGTGTGAAGCCAGAACTGGGGGAAAATTACCAACTGACGTAACAAATGCACTTTGTTGTTTTTTTAAAGATAATTTGCACGATAATACGATGTAAGTGCTTCCTTTCATGTCTAACAAATAACTTATAAAATTAAGCGAATTAGTCCTACACATTGTCACCTTCAATTACAAACTGTTTATGTTTGGGGTTTTTTTTTTAGTTCTGTTCTGAGGCACTCACTGACGAGAAATCTTGAGCGAAGAGAGGCACAGTTTTGACTAGATTTTGTGAGGTGAGTTTATAACCTATTATATTATCAGGTATTTACAAATCGGTATCTCGAGTAGCTTGAGTACTCATGTAATTGCCTCTCTTATCCATAACAATATCTTTCAAAAATATTTTGATAAATGTGTCTCGGAATTGTTTGCTCATCGTGCAGTATAATATGAAATTGATACCATTGTTTATCAACGCCAGAATATCCATTAAATCGCCCAGTGGCTGGTAGACTCGGTGAAAATAACCATCAACAATACCACTGAGAAGGTTGAGGATTCCTTGTGGAATTTCCGTTACCAGAAATAATATGACCACCGCGAGTAGCATACGCGTGGTACGGTTCGTCTTGCTTGGTCTTCTTGGGTCATCGCTTCCCTTCATCGGTTTGCTTATCAATTTTTTCCTGCGCCTCTCGGCATCTTTCATTGTCTTTACTAAGAGAATGCTCAGAATAGTGAGTAGAAAGCATGGCACCAGTTTCACTAGGATGGCTTGTATCCAAAAATTGAACTTTTTCAGAATGATTTCTGTTTCTGTGTTCTGTTTGACGTCTAGATGCCATGATGTTTGGTTCGTGCCTGAATACTTCGTCTGGTATAAGCCATACGTCACAGCATTCGGAATACAAACAATTGACGTAACGATGGACACGATGACAACGGTTATTTTGGCGCGGTCAATGCTGCACAGTTTTGTCCCCTGTCTTGGGCACTGGATAAATATGTAACGAAACAATGCTAACGACACAGTCAGCCATATTGAAATTGAATGTACAATAACACTAAAAATGGCGTAAAACAGCACAAAACGGGCAAACGAAAGCGGTGCTGGCGATGTTTGATACACATGGTACATCATTATGGCGTATGGAAAATACGCCGCCATTGTTAAACCATCCGAGATGGCCAGACCAGTCAGTATTACGTTTGTGGGTGATAACATGTTTTTCCTCGTAAGAACAACGATGTTGAGGATGTTGGCCACCACTCCAAAAATGCACACTATTGGTGCTGCATAGCCATGAATAGGCTGGTACCACATCTGCCATTCCACCAAGGCCGTCGGCGGGGCTTCCATCGCACTTTCCGTATGATTTAAAGGCGGACTTGAGGTCACGTTTCCACCGGTCAGATACTCGTAATTGGTCATAGTTCAAATTCTGAAAACTCTAGTTGAAGGGATTGCTGTTGATCCTTCTTTAAAGACAGGACTGTGTTGAAACTCGCGCTCTTCTTCCTTAGAATAGATAGAACAAAGTCGTGGATTATGTCTCAAAAATCGACCAAATCAACACCATTATTCTGTAAATAGAAAAGAAAATGTTTTAACCATCAAACTCGCAGAAAGTTGTATCCAATCATCAATGTGTTCCTGGTTTTCAAAAATATGTTATATGAATTCTCCGAAAATACAAGAACGAATATTTGGTGTAATATTACACCAGGGCAACATTCCCAAGTAGCTGACGTTGCCATAGCAAAGTAGTAGCAATTGTTTTAAAGAGACAGGGAGACACGGGGTTTAACGTCGACTCGACAAAAACTAGGTCATTTCGGGACTAACATATGATTCAATTTTATTTCAATAATTCGCTTGCACGTAGGGGTCTTTAGCAGTGGTAGGAAACCGGAGGTTGGACAGGCGACCCTACCCCTTGTCACGTAGAAGAGGGGAATCGAAACCACGCCGCTTGACTAAATGACAGACCGGCACGGACAGCTTATATTAATAATAATAGTAACAATAATTTATTGTTTACAGACAGTCACATGTACATATCAACACAAAATATCCAATCAAAAAAAATAAAAAATAAAAAGCTATAAAAATACTTTAAGATTTAAAATTCGAAGAATAGTATTCTTTAAAAAGTAAAGTTTTTAGGGAACTTTTAAAAGATGATAATGTGTCTATTGTGCGTATGCTAGGCGGCAGATCGTTCCATAGAGTGGGTGCGGCGATTATTGATGAACACTTTTCTGATGACGACCATGGTTTGAGTGTGCTTTATCGCTATCTGAGTATAGATTGATTGAGTGTGTGTGCTGTTGCAATCGGCATATCTTGTACTGAACAGAAGGTCAAGCAAATTATCTCTGATTCATTGAAAAGTGTCATAACGTATCATCTTTTCTCTTTTAAATTGGAGAGAGAAAAAAAATCTGAAAAAAGAAAAACAATTCTGTTGCCTCAAATTATGGAGATATTAATCTTAGAAAAAAATGAACGATCCATTAGAAAGATGTTATCGCCATCAGTCAATTTCTGTAATAAAAAAACAAAGAGATCCAAAACGATCATTTTACACTGAATCAAATTAGAATGCAATGTTTAACAATGATATATATCAGTGCGTTTGATTTTATTTATTTTTTATGCTTCTGTGTTGGAAGAAAAAAGAGAAATTTGACGTAGTTGTTACATTATTGGATTTGATTGGTTACCTCTGACTGACGATAAAAGCCACTGCTTATAGGGGATGTGTTCTCATCAGGCGCGTGTATCACCAACGATCAAAAATAACCAAAGATATGGAAATATGATTATAAAGATCGTCACACAATGGACAATGAATGGCGCAGAGGCCAGAGGGCAACTCTCCTTTTGATATTACTTTTATATGAGCCGTTGCTTGCCGATCGTGAGCTGTCGAGGTAATGGAAGAAATTGATAGATGGGGAACTAGACCGGTAACGCGAAAACAAACCGTAGAAAAAGGGGGGAAGTTGAATACGAGACGTGGAAAATGACGTCCGGGCAGATATTGTTTCGGATTCAGAAAACTTTAAACCACCATATCGGGCAGTTGTATTAATCATGGCGACGACCCGTAACCAAAGCTTCTCTACTTATCTGTTTCAAGAGCAGTTCATTGTATTGACAATAGCTTAATCTAATCCATAATTATGTTCATATATAGAATGGCCATGAAGGTTGTCTGGCAGGAAAAATCGAAGTCTTTTTATTTTTGTATTCAAGGGTCAAAGAAAAAATGGCAACATCTGAAATGACTTGGGTTTCCATTGGTAGGATATATAATAAGTTTAACGATTTCCTTTCAAATATCTAGAACATATTCACCCTGCTCATTTTTTCTGTTTGTGTTCTAAGACGTATAGACATGGACTTTAATTAATACAGATGCTGTGCCAGCAGTTACGGGGTTTTTGTTCTGTGACCCTTTTGAACCGGGTGGTCGTAAATTCCACATTCTGATTAAAATACAGATCTATATTTCGTTTCATATTTTTTTATATATACTTTTGATGGCCTACAATACATGAAGATCTGACCAGTTGTTTGGGGAGGTCGCGTCAGAGATCATACGAGCAGCTTTTGACCCTATGACGTCAGACATTTGATTAACCAATCAGTATTGATGTTTCTGGTGGATTACCCAGAGTTACGTGCACCTCACGCAAACTTCTCTTTGTAAAATATCATTTCATTGGCTAATCCCTCACATTATCCACAACACGTCACTGATAACAACTCTTCCCGATCCTAGTGTAGTAAAGACAAGTAAAACGAAATTTTGAACTAAAACAAACGAAACGAAATAGAATCTGTCACTGATTAACAACTCTTCCCGATCCTAGTGTAGTAAATACAAGTAAAACGAAATTTTGAACTTAAAAAAAACGAAACGAAATAGGATCTGTGTTTCAATCAGATTGTAAATTCCAATACAGCCTGTACAACTTACATTCCCCGTACGAAAAGAAACAAGAATCATTAAATTTTGTCTATAGTTAGTTAATTAAAATACTGAATTCCTGTAATGAAATTCAATGCGGTTAAACATCCGAGAGAGAGAGAGAGAGAGAGAGAGAGAGAGAGGATTTAAAATCTACTCGACACAAACTATGACTTTTCGAGACTAACATATGGTTCAATTTCATAACCTTGAAAACAATTATTGCGAGAGAGAGAGAGAGAGAGAGAGAGAGAGAGAGAGAGAGAGAGAGATGAGTTTTAACATCCACTCGACACAAACTAGGTCATTTCGGGACTAACATATGATTCAATTTTATTTCAATAATCTGCTTTTTAGCAGTGGGAGGAAACCGGAGAACCCGGAGAAAACCTACGAGGTTGGACAGAGGACCCTACTCCTCGTCACGTCAGCCAGGTTTCGATTCCCTGGCTGCACGTGTAATACGGGTATAACGCATGACGAATAGGTGAAATGCTAAAGACGCCTAAGATATCACCAAGAGTGGTATGATAATAGTCTGATGATTTGCCTGTGTTTAAATATAAAATAAAGCTAACATGCGGTACATATATTTTGTTATTAACGCGTGGTTATTTTAATTGAACAAACAGCTCTAATGAACATGTTTGTCAATATAACGATCGATTGTCAATTAATAAACCTTTGTCCCAGGTGTGTTCTATTGTGGAGACATTGAATGGTCGAGAGCATCTGTGCCATGTACAAATTTAACGTTAAAACGGATAATCGATGTCGAAACACTCTATTTGACTGAAATTTTCAACATATTCATATTTCATTATCTATTTTAAGCTATTATAGCAATAACGACCCAGCTTTTTAAAGCAATATATCTTTAGCAATATTCAAAAGAATTTAATGAAAATTTGTTGAGGGGTTTTTTTTTACATATTTTTGTGTTTTTATTCCCGGGTCGATACTGGGAATTAACAACTGACCAGTACCGGATCTGGGGGGTGGGGGGCAAAGTGGGACAAATGTCCCGGGACCCCCAACAATTCTGGGTCATATTAATATTTTATCCCGGAGGGAGCCAACCAGTACCTGGGCTGGTGGTGCGAGGATTGGGGCCCTGGGCAGTAAGGGATATTGGGGGCCCCAGGACTGGTAGGTACCAACAGATTTTCGGGGGCCCAGGAAATCGCTGCCTAAATTGTCTCAGATGCAGTGAAATTAATCCTAATTTTAAAAAAAAAGTTCCTGGAGGAAAACACCCCAGGCACTCAAGGCGGCGGAGTACATACTAGTACGATCCGCGGTCAGTACGAACAATTTGGACAAACAACAATGGGGCCCCTGCACAGTTGATATGTCCCGGGGCCCCCCACAAGGTTAATCCGGCACTGCAACTGACCAATGATCTATCTTTAAAAATATTCAAAACAATTTGATTTAGAAAATTTCATTATGAAGGTGTTCAAAACAAAACTAGATATATATTTCGTATTGATATCCCCGATGCGACACGGTTAACTAACACCTGACTAATGATCAATCAGCAGAAAGGTGTGTAAAACGAAACTACAGGTAGATATATTTTGTGTTTATATCCGAGGGGGGGATACCTGGAATTAATATACTTGACCAATGATCTATCAACAGAAAGGTGTGTAAAACGAAACTAGATATAGTTTGTGTTTATATCCGAGGAGGGGGGGATACCTGGAATTAATATACTTGACCAATGATCTATCAACAGAATAGTGTGTAAAACGAAACTGGATATATTTTGTGTTTATGTCCGTCCGCGGGGGGCGATACCTGGAATTAATACTTGATCAATGCAGTATACGATATAGTCACTGATTGATGCTCGTTTCTTAATGATCTACAATAAATACACAAATTATCTCTGTTTCTATCATTATAAACCTCAATGAAATCCAAACCAAAGCAACAAACAGCCAATCTGAATAAAATACAGATCTATATTTCGTTTCGTTTTTTTTTTTATATACTTTCGATGGCCTGCATTACATGAAGATCTGACCGGTTGTAGCGATAGGTCGCGTCAGACGTCATATGAGCGGCTTTTAACCCTATGACGTCAGACATTTGATTAACCAATCAGCATTGATGTTACTAGTGGATTACCCACAGGTCCGTGTAAAACACGCCTAAAGCTCGCCGTAACAGACCGCTTCATTGGCTAATCCCTCACACCATTCAGAACACGTCAATGATAACAACTTTTCCAGATCCTAGTGTAGTAAAGACAAGTAAAACGAAATTTTGAACTATAAAAACGAAACGAAATAGAATCTGTGTTTTAATCAGATTGACAAAAAACATAAAAACAAGTAATTAGTCCATACTAATAGCCATTTATTTCTCGCAAACACGAATCATCGTTTTTCTTTTTTTTTTCTCGAAAAGATTCCATCCTTTATTGATAAAAAAAAAGAGAGACGGAATTACTCATCCTGCATATTTATGAAGAAAGCTTGAGACGTAAAATCGTTACTTGATTCAATATCTAAATGTATATCTACTTCTTGCTAATTTCAAATAATTTGCCCAACACTTTCCGTTCTTATTGAGAGAAACAACATCAAACTCATG